TTGAAGTCAAAAGTTGGGTTTGGAGGTCCATAATTGTGTTATTCAGGAGTTGGTTCGGTTGTTTTGTCTTTTAAAATGGAGGTTCTGCATCTCCTTGAGGTTCCTCAGGGCATGGTTGGGTTCCTCAGATGAGACTTGAGGGGTTTTGGGGTGGAAACTTGGGGTTTTGGGGTCAAAAGTTGGGTTTGGAGGTCCGTAATTGTGTTATTCAGGAGTTGGTTCGGTGGTTTTACCTTTAAAAATGGAGGTTCTGCATCTCCTTGAGGTTCCTCAGGGCACGGTTGGGTTCTTCAGATGAGACTTGAGGGGTTTTGCCCAAAACTTGGGGTTTTGAAGTCAAAAGTTGGGTGTGGAGGTCCATAACTGTGTTATTCAGGAGTTGGTTCGGTGGTTTTACCTTTAAAAATGGAAGTTTTGGATCTCCTTGAGGTTCCTCAGGGCGTGGTTGGTGGTTTTTGATCCAAATCTGAAGGTTTTGGGGTTGAAATTTGGAGTTTTGGGATGGAAAACGGAGTTTGGAGGGGCGGGATTCTCTTGGTTTGCTTCTTTCATCTTTTAAAACAGAGGTTTGTTGTCCGAAATTGGGGATTTTTGGGATTTTACCCCGAAATTTCCCAAAATAACCCAAAACTTTTACCCCAGAATTTCTTGGCTTTTCCCGCCCGTCCCAGCCCGCCCTTCCCCACTCTCCAAAACTCCGTTCCCACCCTCAAAAACAACATTTTTTACCCTAAAAAACGTCATTTTTTCCTCAAAACAGTTTTTTTCTAAAAATCAGGATTTTCCCCCCAAAAATTGGGATTTTTTTCCCCAAAAACCTGTGATTTTTCCCCGAAATCGTGGTTTCTCTCCCCAAACCCATGGATTTTCCCCAAATCCCGGGATTTTCCCCCAAAACCCGTGGATTTTCCCCAAATCGTGGAATTTCCCCCCAAATCCCGGGATTTTCCCCCAAACCGCGCTTTCTCTCCCCCAAATCCCATGGATTCCCCCCAAAACCTGTAAATTTTCCCAAACCCCATGGATTCCCCCCAAACCCCAGGATTTTCCCCAAACCCCGGGATTTTCCCCAAACCCCACGGATTCCCCCCAAACCCCAGGATTCCCCCCAAATCCTGTAAATTTTCCCAATCCCATGGATTTCCCCAAACCCATGGATTTCCCCCAAACCCCATGGATTCCCCCCAAATCCCAGGATTTCCCCCAAAAACTGGGATTTTTCCCCCCAAACCCCACGGATTCCCCCCAAAACCTGTAAATTTTCCCCAAAACCCGTAAATTTCCCCAAACCCCACGGATTCCCCCCAAACCCCATGGATTTCCCCAATCCCATGGATTTCCCC